ACACAATAGAAAAAGAATGAGAAAAGAATCAATTCAAAATTTATTAATACTGGACTTTCAAATGTAGTCCAATGCGCTTCTTGTAGCCTTATATGCTAACTCAACTTGCAGTTCATTAATATTTGACTAAAAGACAATTTAATATAAAGTGGAGAGTCACTTTTGTGTCATTATTAAGTCATTAACATATCCCCCGTTTTTTTTACCATATGCGCATTTCTCTAATCCAAAAAATGTACTTGTGGATATGGTTGTCGGACTCTAATGCATTCGCAAAACCAGTGCTACTAAATTTGGTATTTTGCTATTTACAACTTTTTCTTTCTAAAAGAAGCTGGGCTAATTTGGGCTACTAATGAGAAGAAAGTCAATTCGAAATTTAGTAGACGATGGCTTTCAAATATAGATACGCTCGCTACTAATCTGGCTACTCTGCGTCAGATCAGACCAAAAATGGAGTAGTGTTGCCATATCTGGGATAGAGCCGCTCAATTCTCACTTTCCAGCCATGACAGAGTTCAAAAGCGTCGACGTGACCTTGTGAGTGATGAATTATTTTCTAGCCGACAACCCCTTTCTCACAGACGAAACTTCGCTATCGGTATTTCCAAGAAAAATGCTCTACCGAGCTATGACCCTCTTTGCTATGTATCATCTTCAATCTCTTTGTATTCCATTGGCAAGGAAGAAGCTCCATGCAAACAGCATCTTCCTAAGAACAGCTAATTTTTGGAACATGCTCCTGAGAGGATGCTTCCTTGATCACTAAAATCTTAACCTCTTCAAGTCTCGGGTCAACCGTTATCTACTTTCAACAACCGCAAACAGTAATCTTCTACCTTGAGTGGCTCTTGAGATTTGTATTGGGCGAACGAAAGTGAAAAGAAAAAGAGGCCAATTTAGTTTGTTTTTCTTTTAGAATCTAACGAAGGCCCATAAACTAATCACCTACGAAAATTACTAAGATCTACGCATGCGCACACACACACACACACACACACACACACACACACATATATATATATATATATATATATATATATATATATATATATATATATGAACAATAAAAAATATTAAAAAATTAAAATCTTCAGACACACTGGGTTGTATATTAATATTCTTTCGTTTTTATTTAAGTTAGATTCCTCGACTAGTTTCGGCCAACATGGCCATCATCAGGAAAAAATTTCTGCTTGCTATATATATATATATATATATATATATATTCGGTATATTTGTGCCATAATTGGTGTTTTTTTAATTTATTTTTAAATTCTTAGAAGCATATAAAGAAATTATTATCCAAACATGTTATTAATTATTACAAACGCGTCATTAGATGTTGTAGGCGGAGGTATCACATGACTTGCTGCGTTGAGTTGGATTTTATTTAGTTTTAAAAAAAAATAATAATAATCTCACTTTCAAAAATAATGATACAATCTACTTTTTAAAACACAATTTTCTTTTCTGACCCCAGCCTCGATGTGACTTGAAAGTTTGGGAAAATACAAGATGAATACAACAATCACGTTTGCGAAAGGTTATTTGTAAATTTAGAAAAATATCTTAAAATATAATAGATACAAATCGCTTATTGTTATTAGTAATACATACATGTATACATAACATTTTAAGTATATATATATATATATATACATAAATACATACATATATATATATATACAAGTAGAGGGTTGGTATAGATGGGATAAAATTCCGATAACCAAAAACGCTATTCTTAAAAAAGTGCTCAATACAAAATAAAATAATATTTATTCAAAAATTATAACATAAACATGTCATAACATCACCACAAAAATATCCATACCAGAAGTGTTGAAACAAAATGGCTGTAGTGATCCTGATAACATACATGTTATAATTTTTGAATAAATATTATATATATATATATATATATATATGTGTGTGTGTGTGTGTGTGTGTGTGTGTGTGTGTGTGTGTGTGTTTATGTGTGTGTGTATGTATGTATGTATACATATACATACATACATATAAATATATATATGCTAAAACATTTTGTTAGTAATTCTCTATAAGTAACTCACTGCATGTATATGTGTCTGCAAAAATGAAAATTTTTCATTGCAAATATTTATGATGTATATATGCTTATATATATATACATATATATATATGATGAATAATGAGCTCGATTTCGACGTATGAGTATCCGACAACCTCATTCATTTTTTATGTTTGTGTTGTACATGACACTTCAGTCTCACTAGTGGCCCGCGCACACAACTCCACATTATGTAAGAGCAAGGATCTTGAGACATTCCAACTGGAATAATTGCTGATTTTCGCCGTTGTCTTTCGTCTCTAAGCCGGTCAATACGACTGATATTGAATATATATGTATAAATTAACTGATTTAAAATATGTTTTTTCGCTACACAGTAATAAGCATGTTTCAAAATTTTTGAAACATGGTTATTACAGTGTAGCGAAAAAAACATTTTAAATCAGCTAATTTATAATATTAAAAACTATTTTTTAAAAATAAAAATATCAATACGAACACCGGATTATATATCTTACTGTTCTTTCTTCATATATATATATATGAGTATGTGTGTATGTGTGTGTGTGTGTGTGTGTGTGTGGTATATTTGTAGATAAATGTGCTCAGTATCAGGGATAGTGCGTAGGTCAATATAAAAGTGTGCATTGTGGTCAACACTGAGCGGCGACAGAGGATTTGATGCTTGAGCGCAGTACTGCAATCTTTCTGGGGCCTGTATACTCTGTTGTCGAATTCAGTGTCCATATATATATATATATATATATATATATATATATATATATACGACGGCCATTGTCGAACAGGACTGAATTGGAAGTCGGAGGCCCGAGTTCCTGTTCCAGTCGAGGTCGATGCGCAACTATTCTAGCGAACGGTATCAATTCTCCCCTTCTCCCCAGCTATGGGTTAATTAGTTGCGCTAGTATCAAAAAATTAGTATTATCTCTTAAAATTCTTTAAATCTAAAAATATATTCTGGCTCACAAGCCGTAAAAACGATCAAACTCAATCCTCACTCAATATATATATATATATATATATATATATATATATATATATATATATATATCAGTAAGTATGAACATTTCTTAGGCAAACATGGTTTCTAAATTTGACCAAACATCGAGATCACCTTTTGTTTTGTAGAATTGTTTAGGAATCAGAAGTTTTTTAATACGACTCTCATATATATATATATATATATATATATATATATATATATATATATATATATATATATATATACATATATATATATATATATATAAAAAATATATATATATATATATATATATATATATATATATATATATATACATACATATGCATATATATGCTAAAACATATATATATATATATACACATATATACATGTATGCTAAAACATTTTGTTAGTAACTCTGTATATGTGTCTCAAAATGAAAATTTTTCATTGCAAATATTTATGATGTACTTGTGCTTATATATATATATATATATATATATATATATATATATATATATATATATATACCTAACTGACACTCTAAATTAATACCTCTGTATACTTATCTCCAAAGAGCTTACTTTATATAAACAAGCTAATCTGTCTTATACGAAAACACTCTCAGTACATATTTGTTTTATATTATACATATATATATATATATATGTATGCATGTATGTATGTATATATGCATATGGGTGTGTGTGTGTGTCTATCAAACTCTATCTACCTACATTCTTCTTACGCATACTCAAATTCCTGACATAGGCATGTGCTGAGAGGTTTATTTGTGTATCGAAATAAACAAAGGTAATCTCATTTTGTAAATATTATGCATTTAGAGATTAATACAATCAAATCTACTGATACGAACATCCATTTGTTTTCTGCAGCGGGATTGTAGAAAGGCTTTGACGAATAGAGCGTGTAGGTATCGATAATTTTACAAGTACACGAATATATAGGCTGTTGAAAAAATGTGGTGAAAATTTCCATATTTAACTATTAGTGCTACTAGCGAGATACATAGATAGATGGATAAATATATGCGACCTCTCACACACTCTCTCTCTCTTTTTCTCTCTCTCTCTCTATATATATATATATATATGTGTGTGTGTGCCTGTGTGTGTGTGTTATGTGAGAAATAGTGAAAGAAAGAGGCAAATATATATATATATATATATATATATATATATATATATATATATATATATATGTATATATGCCTGTTTCATTAAAAACGACAGACAAGACACTAAGGTTAAGCTTTTATTTAATTTTTCTTGTGTTAGAACGAGAGCTTTCTTTTCTGGACAAAGAGTGTGTAAAAACTGTTCCGAGCGCTTTCGTCTATACCTTTAGCCATTATCAAAGATGCTTCAAATTTTCAGCTTAATTGATTGTGTGCATTATGTGTATGTTTTAGTTTGTTGTAGGGATATCTTTAGTTTCCGAATACGGTTAGCACATTGTGGCCTTGTTTGTAATTAATATTGTTAAGAGTTGGCTTTTTCTTTTATATATATATATATATATATATATAGATAGATAGATAGATAGATAGATAGATAGATACGATCTCTCTCTCTCTCTCTCTCTCTCTCTCTTTCTTGCTCCCCCCCCTCCGTCTATATATATGTATGTGTGTATGTGTTATGTGAGAAATAGTGAAAGGAAAGAAACAAATGAATAGATAAATGGAAATGAACAGATATAGATAGATAGATAGATAGATAGATAGATAGATAGATAGATAGATAGATAGATAGATAGATACCTGGTTTAAAATGGGGAACGTTTATACGCATTCCATGCTTTATTTAAAACTTTACAGGCACTGGCCTGAGGGCTATTCCACATTTTCTGAAACTAATGCAGCATGAGAGCCTGCAGCATTTGCGAAACATTTTCCTCAATCTTCGTTTGTTAAGTCAAACCCTGATAATGATATTCACTTTGTTAAAATGGATAGCTCATTAGATGTAGTGATAGATAGATAGATAGATAGATAGATAGATAGATAGATAGATAGATATGATCAGACTGAAACATACATAGATATCAAGAGAGGAAGATCAAAGAGATAAAAATTGTTCTTACAAGAACTGCATCATCTTTCGTATGTTATCATTTTTTAAGGGATTTTAAGGCTGAGTGGTTGGGTTTTTTTAAGGAGTGCGTGGCGTATGGATTTGGCTTCCAAACATTTGTGCCTTGAAGAGGCGTGAAAGAGTCGACAAAAGTCTCCTGCTGCCTGAACTAATGCTTATATCAACAAATATCATCAGCGCGTGTTTGCTAATATACTTTATTCATTGTCAACAGAAAGATTTATCAGAGCATAGAAAGATGGCATTATATAGACGGTTACGTATTAAGGGAAAAGGAGAAATGGGTTCAAGATAAGAATATTGGAGACAGAAGAGAGAAGGATGAGGTAATTAAAAAGAGAGTAGAAAGAAAGAAAGAAAGAAAGAAAGAAAGAAAGAAAGAAAAAAAAGAAAGAAAGAAAGAAAAAAGTAATAGGAGGAGAAAGAAGATTTAAAATTTCAATAAGAATGAAAAAGCTACGATTACGAAAGAAAGAAAGAAAAATAATGAAAATTTAATAAGAATAAAAAAGCTACTATTTGAAAGAGAAAACGTGAGGTAATTCAAGAGAAAATAGAAAGAAAGAAGAAAGAAAGAAAGAAGATTGAAAATATAAATAAAAATTAAAAGGCTATAGTTAAGAAAGAAATAAAAAGAAAGAAGACAAAAATTTGAATAAGAATGAAGATACTATTTAAAAGAGAGAAGGTGAGACAATTAAAGTGGGAGGAGCATTAAAGAAAAAGAAAGAAAGAGAGAAAGAAGATTGAAATTTTACATAAGACTGAAAAAGCTACTATTTTCAGAGAAAGAGAAAAGAATACTTTGAATTTGAATAAGAATGGAAAAGCTATAATTAAAGGAAGGAAGGAAGGAAGGAAGGAAGGAAGGAAGGAAGGAAGGAAGGAAGGACACTGGAAATTTAAATAAGAATGAAAAAGCTATTTAAAGAGAGGGTGTTAGGTAATTAAAGTGGGAAAAGAAAGAAAACTGAAAATTTGAGTAAGAATGAATAAGCTGTTATTTCCACAGAAAGAACGAAAGTTAGAAAGAAAGAATATTGAAAATTTGAATAAGAATAAAAATTTAAAAAAACACAGCAATTAAGAGGCAAAGAAGACTGAAAATATGAATAAGAAAGAAAAAGCTAATAATTTAGAAGAGACGCGGTGGGGTAAAGAAAGAAAGAAAGAAAACTGAATTCTGAAGAGAGAATGGAAAAACTACATTTAAAAAAGAAAGAAAGAAAGAAAGAAAGAACACTGAAAATTTGAATAAAAATGAAAAAACTACTATTCTGAAAGAAAGCAAGAAAGAGAGAATATAGAAAATGAGAATAAGAATGAAAAAGTTACAATTAAGAAAGAAAGAAAGAGGACTGAAAATTTAAATAAGAATGAAAAAGCTAATATTTCAAAGAGAGAAGGTCAGGTAAGAAAGAAAGAAAGAAAGAAAGAAAGAAAGAAAGAAAGAAAGAAAGAAAGAAAGAAAGAATATTAAAAATTTGAATAAGACTGAAAAACTACTATTTTCAAAAAAAGGAAAGAGGACAAAAAATTTGAATATGTATAAAAAAGCAACTATTAAAAAAGAAAGAAGGTTGAAATTTAAATAAGAATGTAAGAACTATTACTATATAAGAAAGAAAGAAAGAAAGAAAGAAAGAAAGAAAGAAAGAAAGAAAGAATAATGTAAATTGGGGAAAATATAATAAATTAACGGAAACCTTTGGAAAAAGAAAGAAAAAGGCATTTAAAAGAAAGGTACAAAGAAAACTACTTCGAACTGATAAAGAAAAAGAGAAACATTTAAAAATTCAGCACATGGTACACATTATTTATACGTTTATATATTTGAGTAATTTAAAACTTCAAAATTTAGGCAGTGTAAGTGTGTATACGAGTGTTCCTAGCGTGTACGGATGCCGTTCATGCGTGCGCTCTGCGCGTGCGCGTGCACCAAACAGTAATAAGATGTGTAAGAATTTCACTAAATACTTAAAGCCAAAAACTACAGAACTACAAGTGCAACTGGTTTCATACAATGATTTTATTCAGAAAATGTTCAGGCATTATTCAACAGGACAATGCCTTCTATTTTGCTTGAGTTTTTCTTCTTTTTTTTAAATCAATCAATCGGCGATATTTCTTTTTTTCTTTCTTTCTTTTATTTCTCTGCTCCTTCCTGTCTGTCAAAGCAAATATCTGTTTATCTAACTCTGTTTTTATCGATTTATCTCTCTTTCTCTTTGTCTATCGATCCTAAACTCTTCATATCTGTTTCATACCTCTGTACCTAGCTAGCTAGCTAAGTCTATTGATAACTTTATATCTACCTCTGTTTGTAGATATCTATAATCCTAGTTACCTCTCTATTAATTGGTCTGTTTATCTCAATTTGTTTCAATCTACCTCAGTCTGTTCATATTTGCCTATTTCCGTTCTCTTTTGCCTACACCTGTCTATTTGTTTATCTATCTATCGATTAATTTCGGTACTTACCAGTCAGTACATTCTTGTACAAATTTATCAATCAATTAGTCAATACCTGTGTCTGTCTTGAGAAATCCATAATTATTTATGCCAAAAGTTGCCGATTTTACAAGTATACTATGTAATTGGGGCTTAAGAGATTTTCAAATGCTAATGAGACTTTCCCCAAAAATCAAAATTTTAAGGCTTGTGCTTTCTTCTGGATTCGAACACCGGCGTCGGAGAATGACTTGCTACAGTTTCAGGCAGCCTTTACAGATGGATACTTACTGAACTTATGTTCCCCTAACACAGGGCCATACGACTGAGAAAAGATTGTGCTGTGCTAATAGTTCAAATAGGGAGAGGCTGCTTGTTTAGAAAATCAATGTTCAAAATCCTTGAACAGTGGATACTGAGTCCGATAAGATATACCAATTATATCGACCACCAAAGAGAATATATATATATATATATATATATATGTGTGTGTGTGTGTGTGTGTGTGTGTGTGTGTGTGTGTGTGTGTATAAAGATAGTGAAAAAGATTGAAAGGAAAGGGAGAAAGGAAAAAGATAGATAATAGAGAGAGAGGAGGAGTTAAAATCTTTTTCTCTCACTCTATCTCTGTCTGTCTGTCTGTCTCTCTCTCCCCTCTCTCTCTCTCTCTCTCTATATATATATATATATATATATATATATATATATATATATATATATATGCGTAGGGGGAAAGAGAGAGACAGAAAGCGAAAGGAAAGAAAGAAATAGTGATTTTATTACTTAAGCGTAGCTTGGATGTAGCATAAGACCGAAAAGTACGAGGCACCCAATGAGGATCGAACTCATCGAATTCAGTCTTAATTGATCTAGAAAGAAATTAACAGAATGAGATAGATAGAGAGATAGAATCTGTCTGTCTGTCTGTCTGTCTGTCTGTCTCTCTCTCTCTCTCTCTCTCTAGATAGATAGATAGATAGATAGATAGATAGATAGATAGATAGATAGATAGATATGATCACACTGAAACATGCATAGCTATCCAGAGAGGGAGATAGAGAGCAAGAAATATACTGATAAACTGATATGAACTGAAAGAGAGAGAGAGAGAGAGAGAGAGAGAGAGAGAAAGAGAGTGACTAAGGCAATGAGTGCGTCAGAAAGAAAAAGAAAGACCATTCTACAATGAAAATTGAGAGGAAATGTATTTCAGACAAAAGCAATTCATCACTTCATTTTTACAACTTTTCAGCATTTTTACCATTGAATTTCTCCTGTGTTGGCCAATTTTCTGTTTACGTTTACACTCACACACACACACACACACACACACACAAGCACCACACACACACACACACATGTGCAATCTCTAGTTTCAAACATTTAAGACATCAAGTTTCAAATTTTAAAAAGAAACTGGGAAAAAGAAAGAGAAAAAGGAAAATAGCCTACGTTTTTCAATTTATTTCCACTCGTCGGCGAATTTCCTACTAATGGTATTTTTACTATGAGAGAATGTACTCTATTATAAAATAAAGCTCGCATTATTATTATTATTATTATTATTATTATTATTATTATTATTATTGTCATTGTTCTTGTTGTTGATGCTCTTATTGGTAAGGTTAATTGGTCGATTTTGTCGTCTACATTTTAAAATGTTTATTTTACCCTTCTTCATTATTCGAGTTAATAATCGCCGCTTACATCATCATTAAACTCTATATTCTCGCCGTCTGCATTAAAATTGTTTGGAAAAATTTCTCGTCTTTAAATTGCTTCAATGATGTCAGTAAATTTGACACTTTCATATTCCATGGTTTGAGAATCTCTCGAACGAGGTCCTGGGAATATTTTCTCTCTCTTGCAAGCAAACCTGTTACGCTTAATATGATCAGCATCATCATCAGGATCATCGTCATCATTAATTAAATATTGGTTCACTGAGATTTTTTTTTGTTTTAATCTATTCAGTTATTTAATTTATGTTTTTGCTTTCATATTTTTCGCCAATTTAATTTTACTTTTATTTCTTTATGATTAGATCAAGTTTTCTCTAATTTTTTAATTACAAATTCCCACCCCACAAAATAGGCAAACCTGAATAAACAGTGCATGTTTTGCGAGATCGTTAAAATCAATAACACATTTATTATTATTATTATTATTATTATTATTATTCATGATCTTTTCTCCTTTTATTACTGATTACTATTAACATTATTATCACCTTATTGTTGTTGTTGTTGTTGTGGTGTTGTTGTTGTTGTTGTTGTTGTTGTGGTGGTGGTGTTGTTGGCGGTGGTGGTGTTGGCGGTGGTGGTGGCGGCGGCGGCGGCGGCGGTAGCGGTCTTCAAGTTATTTCCATTATCAGACTTTTTTTTTCTATTGGTTTTTTTTTCTTCTTGTTTGTCTTCTTCTTCTGCTTCTTCTTCCTCATCCTCCTCCTCCTCTTCTTCTTCTTCTTCTTCTTCTTCTTCTTCTTCTTCTTCTTCTTCTTCACCCCCTCCACCTCCTCTTCTAATTATCATTTCATATATTTAAATGTTCCCGCCAGATGTCTGCTGGCCATCGCTGATGACTGAATGACGACGAGTCTCCTCAAATTTCCGGCACCCTTCCGGCGATTCCGAGGTCTTTACAGTTACAAGCCTTCCTCAGAATAATAATAATAATAATAATAATAATAATAATATTAATAATAGTAATTATTATTATTATTATTATTATTATTATTATTATTATTATTATATACTCTTTAAGTTTTCACTCAACTAATACTCCAAATAGCCATTTTCAGTAATGCCTTCGTCTGGAATATTCCAACTCTCCCCTTAATTTCTAGTTTTTCCCTCAATTTTATTAGCACATTAGCGCTGTTCCCAGCACTCCAATAAATACTGTCACCTTCATATTATTATTATTATTACTATTATTAATTATACGCTCTCTTTAATGTTAGAACATTGCTATTATTGTTGCCTTTTCCTTTTAGTCACTTTCTCATTCTTCTTGATTTAATAATAATAATAATTATTATTATTAAAAATTGATAATAATTATTAATAATAATAATTGATGATAATAATAATAATTATTATTATTATTACTAATAGTAATAATAATATTTTCTTTTTCGTTTTTATGCATTTTTTATTAATATAAATATTATTATCATTTTATTGCTTTTGTTATTGTTATTATTAATAGTAGCATTATTAATAGGAGTATTAGTAGTAGTAGTAATAGCCGTAAAAGTAGTTGTATGTTTTCACTTATTTATTTTCTTATTCCTTTCCATCTTCCCCTCTTTGTTATTTTTAATGCCATTATCCTTCTCTTCGTGCGAATAACTATTATTATTATTCTTTCTCTTCTGCTAATATCTTCAGGTCAAGGGGCATGACGTCTCCCAGGAGTTCTGAGGCTTTTTCTGATTATTCTTAACAATTCAATGTTTCATAATCCTTGAAGAAAACCAAAAATAACAGTAGCCTGGAGACTGGAGATCAATCCCTCTAGACATCACCTCCCCGTTGCACCAAAAGAGTTATGGGTCAGGGATGCGCTGCCATATTTAAGGCTTTTTTGGTTTGTTTGTTTTTTGGTGTTTATTTTAAACATTTTTTTTTTTAATCCCACATTGCGCGTATGCGGCGTTTTCCGTTCTTTCCTCTTTTTTGTGGACGCACAATATACGCGTGTGCGTCTCATTTTTCCCAACACACAAACACAGACACACAGATAAACAAATACTCAGAGCGATTGTCTTAAAGATTTTTGCAACTGCGTCCAGACCCTAAACATATGACCGTTACTGCTGCATGCTACTCTTTCGTTCTTTAATAGAAGCAACAAAATCAGAAAATAAATAAATAAATAAATAAATAATAATAATAATAATAATAATAATAATAATAATAATAATAATAATTTTCACCATTATTATAAGTTCTACTGATAAAATATGAAAAACATAGACAATGATCGGAACTTTTCCTGCTATAACTTTTGAGTATCACCTCCCCCTTCCCATTACCACAATTATCACCACCACCACCACCACCATTATTATTATTATTATTATTATTATTAAACAAATTGATTGACGTAACTCTTCTTCCAATATTTTGCAACACTTAGAGAAAAATGAAGAACATTAAGACAGTGCTTAACAATATCTGTCTTTTTCATGTTATGTTTCAAAATTCCATACAGGTATAAAAAAAATATAAAAAATAATACAATTCTTTGTACAAACGTCGCTTATCTTGAGAAAATACTTTTTTGCGTCTTCTTTTTTCTTTTCTTAAATTGCGCTCTTCTCGAAGTATTATTATTATTATTATTATTATTATTATTATTATTATTATTATGCAAGCTGATTTTGTTAATTGGTCACTTATGCTCTTCCATAGATTCATCGTAGTAAATTTCGACGCTTGAATGATGAACGGTACCTCTGAATATTGCTTAATCAAGAAAACCAATTATAAATTTACCAGTAAGCACTTCTTCAAGTGTTTTGTATATAAGACTAAAAATCAATCAAGTTTTCCAACATTAATTACACTTATCAATTTCTTAATGACGCATGATCAATAAAGTATTGAAAAGAAAATGCTTTTTACATTATCGTGCCTATTCAAAGTGACATACTACAACCTGCGCACATCACCGCCACTGTACATCAGGAGCTCACGTTATGTTATTGCTATTTCTCCGTAAAAATTTTTAAAAACTTGCATTTTTTGACATTAAATACAATTATGATCGGCCTTGCAATCTCCTGCAGCCGATTTTAAAGACGATTTAATTAAATAAACTATTATAGACAGAAAACCACAAATTGTTAGGAATACATTTATGAAATATTCACCGACTTGCTTATGTTAACTATTATTAATCGACGGCAAAACACATACACACACACACACACACACACACATAAAATAACGAATTGCATACTAAGAAAAGGTATTATTTTTGAAGACACACAAAAAAGTTTTTTACGTAATAAAAAAGTTTTAAAAAGTAATTATACATATTTATGACTATTTTTATTATTTATTATTTTTTTACTTACTATAAACAAAACAAAACAAAGAACGACTTTAATGATTTTCTCATGTGCTTAAATGTTTACGTTTTGCCACATGAAGAATAAATATTTTTTTTATTTTTAAAATTATTTCAAGTCTTGTTTTTGTTTTTCGTTTTGTTTTTTGTTGTTTGTTTTATTTTCATTTTTTTAAAGATAATTTAACGTAGGGAAGGCGATCGGTCGGTGACACAAATTTTGGGACATCTCTAAAAGAAAATAACGTTACGCTTTATAGTACTTACCCTGAGTGCATGAATGGAAGAGCAGAAATCGCGGTGTCCTGGAGTAGTCCGAACGTTGTGTGTGCATCTGCCTGCCCAGTCTAAATGTTTGTGTGTATATAAAATTGGCAGAACAGAAGAAAACAGCGGAGAGAAGTGAACAGTTCGAAAGGAGAGAAGAGAACAGGGCGGAACAAGGCTGCGTGAGACTAAATTGATGTCTGTTTGGTTGCGACGGCAGGCAAAAGAGAGAGCGAGCGGGTGAAAGACAAAGAGAGAAAAATGAACGAAAAATAGACGGAGTACAGGCGGGGCTGATAAGAGTTTGTTCGTAAGTGGCTGTTTGCAAATGCTTACAGAATGGATCAGAAGATGAAGAAAACGAATAGGAGAAGGAAGAGGAGAAGAACCATAAAGAAAGAAAAAAAGAAAGAAAAAAGAAAGAAACTAGAAAAATAAATGGACGGAAAAAGACAACAATATAAGGATGAAAATTAAAACAGGGAAAGAAAGGAAAATGCAACAAGAAAATAAGAGAAATAAAGAGTTAAGAAGAAGAAAAAAAAAGAAAAATTATGAGGAGGAGAGAAAAATAAAAAGGACGAAGAAAAAAGAGGAGGAAAAGAATGAAATTACGAAGGAGTGGAGAAAGAAAAGGAAAATAATTAAAAATAAAAATGTAATGCAACGAAAAAGATAGAAAACTATAGAAAGAAGACAAAAAAGAAAGAGGAAAGGTGTGAAAAAGAACGCGAGATATGTGCGAGGTTGTAAAAACAGAATCAAACACGAGGAGTGATGGAGAAAGAGAGAAAGAAGAGAAGATGAAGGCGAGAAAAAATGTAGCAAAAGAAGAGAATAAAAGGAAAAAAATTGGATGAAGAAGTAAAAACACAATGAATGAGGAATAAACCGAGAAAGAAGAAATTATAGCAGGAAGAGTCGGGAGGACGCTGATTAGGAAGACGAGAAGGTCAGTTAGGAATAAATACAGAATAGGAAAGAGAGGGGGGGAGTGAAGGTATGTAAAGAATTAGAGGCGTTATAGAGTAAAAAAAAAAGAAGGGAAAAAGAAAAAACTGCAGATAATATGATAAAAAAAAAGATACGAAAATATAAAAATAACAACAATAAACAATGACAGAAAATTAAGCAATAAGGACTAAGGAGTTAAAAAAGTGGGTAACATTTAAAGAAAAACTGAAAGATTCATTCTTTTTCAAGAAAAAGAAAAGAGACGAAGTTAAAAGAGAGGAAGAAAAAGAAAGTAGAATGAAGAATGAAGAAAAAAATCAAGATATTGATTTTTTCCAGTAAAATTTTAAAAATACAAAAGAGTAAATGTAAAGGCAAAAATATTAATGAATAATGAAAAAAAAAAATTAGCGATTCTTTTTCTTGAAACGAAAGAAAGAAAGAAAGAAAGAAAGAAAGAAAGAAAGAAAGAAAGAAAGAAAGGAAAAAAAGAAAGGGGGAACGTGTACAGACAAAAAGTAAAAAATGGAGCTATTAATTTTACTTCAATAAGGAAGGAAGGAAGGAAGGAAGGAAGGAAGGAAGGAAGGAAGGAAGGAAAAAGGAGGAAAGAAAGAAAGAGAAAAGTGGAAATTTATACAGATAAAAAGTAAAATAGGAGTCATTAATTTTACTTCAGCAAAAATATAAGAATGGGAAACTGTGTACAGACAAAAAGTAAAAAAAAGGAGCGACTATTTTACTTTAATTATTTATTTATTTATTTATTTATTTAGAAAGAAAGAAAGAAAGAAAGAAAGAAAGAAAGAAAGAAAGAAAAACGAACTGTGATAGATAGATAGATAGATAGATAGATAGATAGATAGATAGATAGATAGATAGATAGGAAAGAAAGAAAGAAAGAAAGAAAGAAAGAAAGAAAGAAAGAAAGAAAGAAATGGAATCTACTTTCTTCAGTCAAAAAGTAAGAAAAGCAAGAAAAAAAGAAAAAACAGAAAAAAGAAAACGAAGAATAATATTAAACAAGGAAGAAAAAGTAATAAGAAGTAAAAAGAAATAAAAATGATAAGAAAGAAAAGATGAAAAAGAAAACGGACAAAAAGAATGAAAGAATAGTGGAGAGTGAAAAAAGACGAATTATAAAGTATAATGGTTCTTTTTTAATGAAAAACATTGATCGTGCTGATAGAAAGGGAATACTTCTCTCTGTCTGTCTCTCTCTCTTTCTCTCTCTCTCTTATAAACACTCTTTCCCTTTCTCCCTACACATTCTCTCTATCTGACTTTTCCCTTTTTTTTTCTATTTGGCGAAAGTGTGGCAGGGCTGACAGACAGCAAGAATCTACCGAATTCTTTTTTTTTTTAAATTTTATTTGTTTTCATTTTTTTTTTTTTTCGGACGGACAAGCCCAGCTAGCATTGGCAATGAGACTGAGAAAACTGAGTTTGATTGCGAGCGATGTGAAAACAAAGATAAACCACATGGGGGTCATAAATATTTGACACTGGAGCCCTCTTCCCAGATAAAGACTTTGGTTGTGTCAACAATGAATACGGCGGGGTCATTAACGATCACAAATTGTCCCCGGAGAAGGCTATTAAATTCCGTTTGGGATATCTACAATTGATTGTGTGCCGTTTTGTGTGATACTTGTGCTTTAGTCTGATGTCAGACAATGGCCAGAAAGGCTGGCATTTGTCATCTTGGGTGCGGTCAGTGTGGGGGAAAATCATCTTAGTTTTATTTCATGGGAGGTTGCTAACTTCATTAAAAAAGAAAAAAAAAAGAAAGAACGTGATTAAAGTAGAAGAATATTTGAACAGTAGAGATAGCTGGGTTCGCTGTGTGAAGAAATGTCCTACGATTTGTAACATTTCTAGTTGAGATACCGTTGACCAGTGCCTAAATCAAAGAGATACTATCTTTTGAATCTGGGAACTGACAAGACAAATTCCTGATGGAATACTGGTGAAATACTTACTCTCAGAATGCTCAAACCATTCTAGCTGAATTCTTTCTTAAAGTCATGTCCATAGAGAACTCAGGAGAGAAAAACGGATGATCCACGTCTTTCCCATGAACGTTCGTGAGAAAGCGAGCGCAACTGACTAGAGCAGAATTTGAACTCGGTTAAACAGTTTCTCATGCCCACCAATGTCTGTTGCACACCCCTCTAACTTAGTTTGAAGAGAAAAAATAGATCTTCTTTATGTTACCTATCTCATCAGCAGGTAGGCGGTCATGGCTCTCCGCAACTTCCTGTCCTTTATAACTCTTATTAAACTTTGTCTTTCTGTTATCCCTCCTAATCCTATTCGGATACCCATTTACTCAAGCTCACTAAGCATATTATGCGTTGTTTTCCTTTGTCTCTCTTGCCTTCAATCTGTCCTGTGAGTATCAGATTCTCCAAACCCTCCTTCCTTATTATGTGCTCCAGAAACCTCAACTGTCTCTTCCTGATGTTAATTATAAGTTTCTCTTTTGTTTCCATATTCTCTAAAACTTCGTCGTTGTTCACATGTTCGATTCATGGTATACTTAGCATCATTCTGTAAAACCACATTTCTGTTGCTTCAAGTCTCTTCTTCATCTTTGAGAAGATTGTACAGCACTCACTGCCATACTTGAGGACATATATCATATAACAATTTATATACTCCTTGTACAGTGTCACAGTTTCCATCCTTTGTTTAAAAACTTTCCAGATATTTAAATTTCCGCACTTGTTTGATTCTGGTAATCTCCGATATGTAATTCGCACTTTGGGCTCATCCTTTTCCTAACAATCATGCACGCTGTCTTCTTGCAGTTGATGATTAATCCTTTCTCCTCGCTTGGATACAATTTTGTAATATTTACTGTTAATTATAAGAATAATCAAAAGACTTGCGGATTTGTTCAAGGGGTAAGAAATCGGACAATGAATTCTACAACGGAAGGTTTATTTAAATTTTTAAGTTATCTGTTATATAGGAATAAAGTGTCGCTACCGACACTTGAATTTGAACAAAGATCCCCAGAGAGCGAACACAGGTGATCCCATTTTGAAGAAGTAGATTACGTGATCGCAAAGGAAATGTATATATGGAAATTGGCGTGGCGTATAAGTGATCACTATTTCTACTCTATCTTCTATTACTATACGAATAACTCTTTCTACACTATCCTCTATTCACTATATTTTTTCTCTATACTGATCACTATACGGATTACTATTCAGTGGTTACTATTCGAGCGAGTATTATCGAGCAAGTACTATTAGTGCGGGTGTTATTCGAAGGCGTCTAACAAAAGTCTCTACTACAATGAGCATTACAAAAGTGACAACGAATATTCCTTGACATTACAAAAGTTGCAACGAGTGTTCGTTGACATCACAAAATTATCCCAGAATTTAATTTGTATGACAAAATAAATATTTGTGTACGGGCTGGGTGATTTCACTGTTTTAAAGTTTCAATATGTAAGCTTTTCTATTGAATATTTCATAGGTAATGAATAATTAATAAAAAGATAACATACACTTTTCAGGTCAGCTGCTAAGAAAGTTGATTCACTGTGTGGTGCATGACATTTTTTTCTCTCTAGAATCTTACATTATTTATCAGTCTACCATTTGCCCATTGTTAGAATATTGCTGTCACATATGATCCGGTGTCTCCTGCTATATACCCAGATATCTATTGTAAATGGGGTACATCGGGATATCAGACAGCGATCTGCTTTTTGCTAATAATACGATTTCCACTAGGAAAACATCTGTCAGTGAGTAATTCCCATTTCTCTGTTTGTCCATCAGACTGTTGATGAAGGACACAGACGTGTCCGAAAATTCCGAAGATAAAACCTTTCTATCCGTGCTTCATTCCTATCATATAGTTAATGTCTAATAATGATTATCGTACAGATTATATTGGTACCCTTTCGTTTGCCCTTCTTTTTTTATTAACCAACCTATCTCTCTCTCTCTCTCTCTCTCTCTATATATATATATATATATATATATATATATATATATATATATATATATATATAAAGAGAACGAAAATTATATAAATTCTAACTTTCACAGCATTAATTCAAAAGAGGGCTCAATACCAAGAGTAGAGCAATAAATATTTATTATAATTTTTACATATGGACAGAAACAACTTGCTCACTACAAAGATGCATTCTGGTTTTTATGCATTATGTGGATCTCGACTGGTGAGAACCAAAATGGTTATGTAGTGAGTAACTTTTTTACTGCATATATATATATATATATATATATATATATATATATATATATATATTAATGCATGTTTCATTAAATAATAGAGACAAGTTTTGTCTATTTATTTTAAGCAAATTCCTTTCATATAGTCTGATAAGCTTAATAACATTATCATTGAAAGACGAATGGAAATCACCATATTGATATATGTTTTTTAATCCTTATCTAAGCTTTCGGCTTACATAAGCTATCATTAGAGATGACAAACTAACCTGAACAAAATAAACTATGAAAACTCCATAAATATACTGAAATATAATTGATAACAGAAGCCATTGGTTTATATCAACGACTTTCCATACTTGACACTTTTCGTTTTCACGCCATGTGTGATGTCAGGGGCCGCGGTGCGATTCTCGTATGCACGTGTTTGTCGTTGCTTGGAAATCTTTCTGGCAAACAAAACAGATTATCATTGTTGCTATGTCCGTGTATTGTTTAATTTATTGTAATATACTTGTCATCTCTGATATATTTATTTCCTCTACCGTCCGGCGTAATCGAGAAATCCTTAATAACGACAATGTGTTCACCTGCGTTCTCCTTTGTAGGAAGACACACCACCTGATCCACGGTGCTTTTACCGTTCAGCTACGAAAAACTTGACAATAAAGCAACCTTTTATTTTGCCTTTAAAGCATATTCACTCGTTAAGATTTTTCTCGAAACGCATATTCTAAGCAATAAGTAAAGATTTATTGGTGGATTTTATGTACTTGATTTTTTTAAAACCTATGACCACATATGCTATATATATATATATATATATATATATATATATATATGATATGTGCTGAAAAGATATCGCTTGATTTGTTTGCCAAAATCTGAACAATAGTTCAAACAAGCCATCATTTTGTTTTGTTTTTTTTAAATATGCAATTTGTCATATATATATGGGTTTATAGCATGCATAATATTATCTGAAACAAAAGTGGAGATGGTGATACAAAATGGAAAAGCTATAAACGACACGTTTCGCCGAACGTCTGTTGATTTGAACTTCTTCAGGACAGAAAGAAAGAGAAAACTCTATATAAGAAAAATGCATTGCGATTTCTGTGGATAAGCCAGGCCAGAAATGAAATTATCTTATTAAATCCGGAAACCAGAAAGTGTTTGTTTTTTTGTTTATATATATATATATATATATATATATATATATATATATATATATATATATATATAACAATAAAAAAAATTAAAAAATTAAAAATTAAAATCTTCAGACACATTGGGTTGTATATTAATATTCCTTCGTTTTTATTATTATTTCATTTAGATTCCTCGACTAGTTTCGGCCAACATGGCCATCATCAGGAGAAAATAATTTTCTGCTTGCTGGCAGCAGTGAACTACAGAAATGAATGTCTTGATAGAGAAAA